GGAGCGTCTCAGCTTTCTCGGACCAAGACCATTCGACTCAGCACCCCGAAGACGACAACTGGTGAAATTTTAATTTTTGCCTTAACTTCCCCTTTAGGGGAGCACCTCATAAGTTCGTATTTTGTTTCTAAACGTAACGCATTTCGAAACGGGGGTATTTTGTTTCTAAACGTAACGCATTTCGAAACGGGGGTAGGGGTAGCGCCCTTTTCGAATAGAAAAATGACTGTTCGCACATTTTCTGGAACTGTACAATCTGCTACCATGTTAGATCCCTGCAGCAAATGAGTGTATTGATTTTGACTGTACTCTAATACATTTCTTAATACAATCGTGTGCAATGTACATGTACATGTAGCTGTGCATATGTTCAGGACTGAAGCGATTGGTCATGTCAGGCAGCATTTCCAATGTACATGTACATGTACAGTCATGCACACAATGACTGTTGTATTGTGGCTGCTGACTAGCTACAAGCGCGTTTACCTTCTTCATTTCAATACTATGGTTTTGTCTCCTCGCCGATCATTCACACACTTTTATTACGGGTATTACTAATTATTAGTACCTTCGCAATATACTGTAGGAGGGTTTGCAAACTATATTCCGGACAGTAAAGAAACAGAATGTACAGGGAGCCAAAGTCAAGAGAATCCAGCTAATTTATAGTGTTTTGGAGATGAGCGGTATCGATAGTCGAACCTGTATTCATCTGAGTTTGTCTAGCGTCATTAGCTATACATTGTTAATTCATGCCATTCGATACAAACACATCAGCACAAAAACAACATGAATACACCCATACAGAATACAGAACACGACTAACCTTGCCGGAGTTTCCCCTCGATCAAATATTATGAGATACCCTGTACTTGCAAGAGTTGTTGTCAGCGAGTTCCACCGTTTCAACTCCATCAAAATTAGAACTTACAGTGCAGCCATGTACATGTACAATTTACATGTCTATATACAGGTAGTGCAGTGCTGGCAACTGAAATCCGACCCCCTGAGCGGTGGGTTCACATTCTTTGCGATGTGAGCGCAAAGCTCATGGGTCGGATTTCAGTTGCAACTTGCCAGCACTGTATAAAAGTAGGCACACTCATGTACATTGTAAAAGGAGGTCGGAGGCTGATAACAATGCCGAAACGACGGTAGGCCCACAAGAATTCACGCTATTTTTCACATTCAGTAAACAAGGCACTTCTCATCAATTATGAAACGTTTGTGTTCCCTTCTTATCCAGGATAATACAGGGAGTGGCTCCATTTGGAAAGACTAACACTTAAAAATAGGAATGAAGTGAGAATCAACACGTATGAGAATGATAATATCCTAGCACTAAGGTGATGGATGTGGCAAATGGGATTCAGGTCTTTGGCCTATGGTTGGTGGATCTGATCTATCCTCCCCCACCGTTTAGGAGCCGCATCTTACGCCTGGTCATGGGTTGGTGGCGTCCCACGGAAGCGGAAAGGTGGCTCTTGACCAGGGAGTTGTACGACTCCTTGTTCTTGACCTGCCCGGTACGCGAACCCGTCGAATTTATTTATTTTATTTTTGTTTAAGGTGATAACAGGGAAAACTGCGAACTACATTGTACATGTACCGGTACATGTATACGTCAAAATAAACTACTACTTGTAAGTAGCATGCACTTAATTAAATAGGGCAAGGATCAAGATAACACTCGTGACAAGGTGGTAATTCATCACGTTTAGATTAACAAAAATTTGGAAATAAAAATGGCACCAGCAAAATGAGCAAACTATGTAACATTGTTTACACCTCCACCGGGAGTAACCCCAAACAATTGCAAAGATCACACATTTTCTTTTTTGTTCACAGAGCTCAGGATGCAACAGTGATCATGTTTTCTCAGTATTGTCACGTGAAAAAGGTACGTTGCATTTGGCTGTGTTAGACGCTTTCTATATGCATGTACGTAAGTTGGATCCTGAGCTCTGTGTACCAAAAGAGAAAAAAAACAATATGTCTGGCGGAATCACGTGAAACAGGAGAAATCATTCCTGTTAGGCGAAAAGAGTACTCTTGTCAGTTTTGTGCCTAGTTATTGCACTTTCTGACTGTATATAGTATCCAGTTACAGTGATGGAGAGTTACTCTTAACTCGTATCCATACATGTATGTCCTTTTCCTTTCTACAAATATTCTTATTACATGTATTTTGTTACATGGAAATTGTGGGCACAAGATGTGCGATCGAGTCCATGTTACAAAATTATTATTATTATTATTTTAATATGGCAATAAGTAGGACGAGCTGAAGTGACATTTGGATTACTTTATTAACAATGTAAGCAAGTAAGAAAGGGTTTGCTCCCCACTTCGGAGCTCGCGCTATTCCGCCGACTTTACTTGACACTTGACTGACTCACGACTGCCATCCAGAGCACACGAGAAGTCCATCGAACCTTCGACTCGGCAAACCTGCAAGAAAGCACCACTCCCTGCTCAATACACAGTGTTTCGGGGAATTCACCCCTCATCAGTTGAACTTGAGTAGGCTGAGGAAGATTGTGCCTGAAGAGCACCACTTATATAGTCCTCTCCAGGCACAAACATCACCAGGGATACAAACTTACAGAGACGCTCTGTTTCCAGCGCGACACACACCTCGTGAACACCAGATAGCAGCGTGAGTCAGTGTCGCTCCTGGACGGTGAGACAGACGTCGAGGACCCTCGGTCATTCGCAACGCTGTCACCTCCAAACCAACTAGTCGCAAGCCCGCGCTGGGCACAACAGTACGAAATAGTGGTTGCGACTTCGGCGATGACTTGTAAGAAAGGGTTTGCTCCCCACTTCGGACCTCGCGCTATTCCGCCGACTTTACTTGACACTTGACTGACTCACGACTGCCATCCAGAGCACACGAGAAGTCCATCGAACCTTCGACTCGGCAAACCTGCAAGAAAGCACCACTCCCTGCTCAATACACAGTGTTTCGGGGAATTCACCCCTCATCAGTTGAACTTGAGTAGGCTGAGGAAGATTGTGCCTGAAGAGCACCACTTATATAGTCCTCTCCAGGCACAAACATCACCAGGGATACAAACTTACAGAGACGCTCTGTTTCCAGCGCGACACACACCTCGTGAACACCAGATAGCAGCGTGAGTCAGTGTCGCTCCTGGACGGTGAGACAGACGTCGAGGACCCTCGGTCATTCGCAACGCTGTCACCTCCAAACCAACTAGTCGCAAGCCCGCGCTGGGCACAACAGTACGAAATAGTGGTTGCGACTTCGGCGATGACTTGTAAGAAAGGGTTTGCTCCCCACTTCGGACCTCGCGCTATTCCGCCGACTTTACTTGACACTTGACTGACTCACGACTGCCATCCAGAGCACACGAGAAGTCCATCGAACCTTCGACTCGGCAAACCTGCAAGAAAGCACCACTCCCTGCTCAATACACAGTGTTTCGGGGAATTCACCCCTCATCAGTTGAACTTGAGTAGGCTGAGGAAGATTGTGCCTGAAGAGCACCACTTATATAGTCCTCTCCAGGCACAAACATCACCAGGGATACAAACTTACAGAGACGCTCTGTTTCCAGCGCGACACACACCTCGTGAACACCAGATAGCAGCGTGAGTCAGTGTCGCTCCTGGACGGTGAGACAGACGTCGAGGACCCTCGGTCATTCGCAACGCTGTCACCTCCAAACCAACTAGTCGCAAGCCCGCGCTGGGCACAACAGTACGAAGTAGTGGTTGCGACTTCGGCGATGACTTGTAAGAAAGGGTTTGCTCCCCACTTCGGACCTCGCGCTATTCCGCCGACTTTACTTGACTTGAGTAAAGTCGGCGGAATAGCGCGAGCTCCGAAGTGGAGAGCAAACCCTTTCTTACAAGTCATCGCCGAAGTCGCAACCACTACTTCGTACTGTTGTGCCCAGCGCGGGCTTGCGACTAGTTGGTTTGGAGGTGACAGCGTTGCGAATGACCGAGGGTCCTCGACGTCTGTCTCACCGTCCAGGAGCGACACTGACTCACGCTGCTATCTGGTGTTCACGAGGTGTGTGTCGCGCTGGAAACAGAGCGTCTCTGTAAGTTTGTATCCCTGGTGATGTTTGTGCCTGGAGAGGACTATATAAGTGGTGCTCTTCAGGCACAATCTTCCTCAGCCTACTCAAGTTCAACTGATGAGGGGTGAATTCCCCGAAACACTGTGTATTGAGCAGGGAGTGGTGCTTTCTTGCAGGTTTGCCGAGTCGAAGGTTCGATGGACTTCTCGTGTGCTCTGGATGGCAGTCGTGAGTCAGTCAAGTGTCAAGTAAAGTCGGCGGAATAGCGCGAGCTCCGAAGTGGGGAGCAAACCCTTTCTTACAAGTCATCGCCGAAGTCGCAACCACTACTTCGTAAGCAAGTAACATTGTTTTTTGCATCGTTTCCATCGCTTACATTGTTAATAAAGTAATCCAAAATTTAATGTCACTTCAGCTTGTCCTACTTATTGCCATATTAAAATTATTGTCTCCTCGTCGAATATTATTACTTCAAAGAATTCCCGCCACTACGTGACGCTAAGTCCTCCTGGGGTTTGCCGCTCTCCGGTCCTCTTTCATCCCGTTCTCCCCTCTTTTTGGGGGATTCTTTGTACTTCGTCTTTCTTGTTTTTCTTGTTCCTTTGTTTTTTGTAGGACAGATTTTTGGTGTACTGATTTCGGTCGTTGTTGTGTCTGACTCTATTCCCAATATCTAATTCTGTGGTTGGTTTTCCAACTCATTGGGTTTTGTAGTTTCCATCATGAGTTTGATTCCATCGTGAGTTTGATTCCATCGTGAGTTTTGATTCTATTTGCTATTTTTCGTTCCATTTTTGAGCTCATATTTTATTTTCCTGATTTCTTCTCCAGTATATGTTGTATTGCATTTTAATACATTGTGTTAATTTTTGCCCGTAAAAGAGGCTTGCACTTCTAAAAAAATTTAATATTACTTCAAAGAAGTATTATTATTATTATTTATCAGAAGAAAAGAGCGCCAAAGAGCTACAGGTCACGCTATACTATCCATTAACACCATGACCAGTTACTTTACAAACAGTCTAATTATTATTTAACCATGATTATTAATCCGAGTTAGGCATGAATACAGAATACACTGTACATTTAGAACAATAATTATGCCATATATGTACATGTACATGCGGTTATACATGTCCATGCACTACGTTCTTACTGAGTTGACTAAATTTGAACGAATGGAGCAAACAAACAGACAAAGGTTTATGATAGGTCGATTTACCGACAATGTACATGTACATGTACATGTACATGTATGTATAACCTTCTATCTAGGCATACAGCAAAGCCTAGCTGATTGTACATGCTGTACATGTACAATCATGTATAGCACGGGGGTGAAATACGTACATGTACATGTACATGTACATGTACATGAATTGGGAAGTGTCAAGAGGAGTAGGCCATTCCGTAGAGTATCAATGTGATGGATTTCAAAGTATAACATGCTAAAGGGCTGAAGGGCTGAAGGCTTTTGCATAATTTTATGGACATTACCGTGAATTTCTTCTGCAAAGACATGTAGAGTTTTCAGGTTCTTGCGTGTAAAGTGCTTCAAGGGGTGCAAGCACCGGATATTTAGCCTAACTGCGTAGCACTGGTGACCCTTGCTCGCTGGACGAAGGTGAGGCAGTGGCGCGTCGCATCTGACGACGCTTGTTGCAGAACCAGTTGTCTAGCTGACGACGTTCCATACCCACCTGGTTTAGGCAAGAAAAGAAGGACAATCCAATAAGGCTAATCACACATGTACAATGTAAGTTCGAATATGTTGCTGTGGTGGAGTTACATGTACATTAGAGCATACTGCTTTCGTGTCGGGCAATGCCTGAATGTATTAAACCAAAACATTCAGGTCCATATACATGTACATGATTGTACCATCATGCAAACTACATTCAAAATGTCGTGCACAGCCTTGGGGCATGCATGTAACTTTTGTACATAATTTGGGCCAGTGCTAAATATTACTTTAAAATCTGGATTCACCAACATACATGTAAATGCACATGCACTTGTGCAAGCAAAACATTAGCACAATAAAACATATTGTTTACAATGTCTTACCTGTGTGAGAAGTGAACGCTTCTGGTTCACTGTCGGATACTGACAAGAGCGAAAAAATGTGTGCAAAATTGCAGTGCATTTTGAGCAGACGAAGTGAGGTTCTCGGTCACCGACTGGCAATCTCCTGCGAGAAATAAACATGGACAAATATGTATAATATTGACTGAGTACGAGGTCAATAATTATAGGAAATAAAAGCCGAGGTCTTTTACGAGGTATATAATTCCTATACTGACCAAGTACGAAGTCAATATTAGATTTATCACGACAAACAGTCCGTATTTCAAATTCCAGAACGATAACCTCATGAATCCCGGTTTTATGATTGCACAACCGTTGCACCACCACCTACTCATGCAGCGACAATGCTGCACTAGGCACCGTTCAACTTCGCAACCCCTAAGCAGTCAAATATAAGCAGTCAATATAGCCCTAAGGAGTGAAATATGCAGGAATATTTGACTGCTTAGGTATGGCAAAAATCTATGTGAGTCAATACTAAGGGATTGATAATAGACATTATCAAGCTGAATTATCAATTTCATACGTCCAAGGGACGAACTAATTTCCTTCACTATTTCGCGCAATAGAAAGTAGACCCTTAGACACTCACTCAGAAGCAGACATCATTAATATGTACTATGAAGTACATGACCGGACCAAGGTACTGTAGCTGCTCATGCAGAGCATTGGAGCTTGCACTTTCTTCTGACTGATGGAAGCTCTCTCTCTCTCATTTCCCTCTCCTCTCCCTCTCTCTCTCTCTCTCTCGCTCTCTCTCTTTGTCTCTCTCTGTCTCTCTCTCCCTCTCTCTCTCTCTCTCTCTCTCTCTCTCTCTCTCCCTCCCTCTCCCTCTCCCTCTCCCTCTCCCTCTCCCTCTCCCTCTCTGTCTCTCTCTCTCTCTCTCTCTCTCTTTCTCTCTCCCTCTCCCTCTCGGTCTCTGTCTCTCTCTCTCTTCTATTACAGGTGTGCAAACGAGTCACGGTGTTGAAAGCGCGCCCAGAATGTGGCCCATTTTGTAGTACATATACCAGTATATGTAATCACAGTATGAGATAGCCCCTTGGGCAACAGGAAACTGCACTCTATTTGCAAGGTACTTTCTGATCTCAACATAAAATACATGTACATGTACATGTTCTTTTGTACGGATCACTAGACACCTATGCTCCGGACAAAGGCCTTACTAAGCAAACACTTAGGAAACTATTTCATCGTGTTCATTTGGCCAGTAAAAGAGGCTACAAGTCACTGAGTAAACACAATACATGTACAGTGTGTTTAATTAGACTACGAAGAACGCGTAAAGTGAATTCCACTACTAGTAATCTGTACCTAACATTCTTACCTTCTTCGTCGCAGACCATGGTACCGGCACTCATAGCTATCGCCAGGATCCTGTTCCGGAACAAGCCACGACTGGCTAAATGCCACCAAATCAATGCCAGCGACTGGAGGCGATGCTGCTGGGCTGAAGCCTGTACCTTTGAAAGGGTACTTGTCAGTGTCCAGAATCTCCTTGTCAGAATTACCCGGAGTTGCTGCTGCTGAGTCTACAGCATTGACAAACGGCTGGTCAACCCTGATAGTCCTTGTGCCGGAATAAACTGGAGGAGATGCTGCTGGGCTGAAGTCTGGACCTTTGAAAGGGTACTGAGCAGTGTCCATCACCTCCGTGTCAGAAGTACCCAGAGTTGCTGCTGCTGAGTCTACAGCATTGAGAAACGGCCAGTCAACCCTGATAGTCCCTGTGCCGGAATTAACTGGAGGAGATGCTGCTGGGCTGAAGTCTGTACCACTGAAAAGCTGCTGATCAATGTCAAACATCTCCTTGTAGGAATTTACCAGATGTGTTGCTGCTGTGTTGAGGACTGTGTTACTGGGAATCTGCTGGTTAACATCGATCCTCCCGGTGCCAGAATCGACAGGAGGCGATTCTGCTGGGTTAAGAAGTGTACTGCTGAGAAAGTACTGGTCAATCTCGGCCAGGAGATGTTCCGTCCTGCAGTCAGTGCCACGAAGCGTACTTTGAGTGGCCTCCTCAGGTGTGTGCCGCGGACCTTCCACGTATCCTGACCAACCCGATGGTAGCACGGCCGGAGGAGTGCTTGTTCCCAACACTGGTGATGGGCGTGTTGAAAACTCAGACGATGGAATGGATCTCGGTGTGCCTGCAGCACCTACACTCCAATCTGAACCTGTCGACGAGTGAGTACCCACGGTCCAAACTGAACTTTTCGTAGACCTAGTGCGTACGCTGCCATCCAATTTGACCGCACTCCTCAGCCACTGTTGCATTACTCCGTTCTGCACCCAGGGTGCCTGTGACTGTTCTGTCCATGGAATCATGTGGGTCATTCCGGGATTCTCTTGGGTATCGGGTGCATAGCATGGCGTGCCGCCCAAACCATCAGCAACAGACAAGAATGTTGGAGCATGGCTTGCTGGAATCACGTACTCCATACCTTGATCCTGGCGTGCAAGGGTGGATATCAGCGACTCAGCTCCACCTTTTGGATCGATTTGAGGGAGTGAATTAGCTGCACTGTCATCTGTTTCGCCATAGCCAAAAGCCATTTCGTATCAAGCAACAGGGGAAGAAGTGGTCTCCTCAGGTAAACTAGAAAGATGGCATACGAAACGAGTAACCAGCCGAAGATATTTCCAACCCTTTGTTAGTACTTTGTAATCGATATGTGGAGGAAGTCTTGTTGCCTGTTTCCTCGAAGCGAAGTCAGAACCGGACTGAAAGAGCATATTTGTGTTTTGAGTCCTAAATACAGCGCATTGCTCCTACTCGCCAGCCATTCATTCTGGGTCCTCTCACTCTGACCAGAACCGTCAAGTGGCTCTAGTCTCCTCACTAACTTGTTACTTGTGTCGATGTCATGAAGACCATGATGTCATCTTTGAACGGTGCACTGAGCTGAGCGCAGCGCAGGGAAACAACTGCCTGTCCTGGGCCTCGTGCAGCGCTAACCTTAAGTCAGTCCGGCTGGTAGCTGAGAATGTGAGATCACTCACCGATCTCAACCTGGGTTCCATACCCGGTACCCGTACCCTGATGTAGAGGAGCTGGCACTCCGAGCTTCAACTGCGGCATGACATACATGTACGTGTAGCTTACTGAGACCTGCTCCAGCTAGCACTAACTATATGTACCTTACAGTACTCAGGTTTGTGACTTGAAGGCGGTATCTCGTGGAATAATCCAGGCACCTGATCCAAGGAAGCGAGCGCGTATTGGTTGCCATGAATGATGAAGGCGCAGCTTCAACCTCTCGCACCCGGTGATTGGGCAGAAAGGCCTGCTCGATCCTGAGCAGGTACAAACTGAGAACCATCGCACCAAACAATCGTTTAATTTTTTAAATATTATTAATGTTGACCGAATGACGTTCTTGGGGGGGGTGGGGCTACCTTGAGAACATGGAATAGCAAAGACAGCAGATGACTCTTACATGAGTCATGCCTTGCGCACTCAGCACGCTTTGGTCGAGTGCTTTGCTATCGTAACTAACTTACTTACTTGGGCAGCTTGTAGCGCCATAGGTTGTCAGTTCGGTATGTAAACCTGGCACTTTACATGGTGTGGAAACTAGTGCATTCATCTTCCTTTTCCAAACCATAACTGGGGGATTTTCGGGACCCAAAACCGATGACGTGCGTACACTCTGGTCTAATCAATACAATCATGTATTTCGTGGCACGCCGAAATTACCAGTGCCAAACTTGGTGGAGCCAAAAAAATTCGCCCATGTACATTGATCTGGATGCACAGTTGTCTACGACAGCTGACTAGGGTCATCAGGCTAAATACAATCGGCATGTACATGCTCTGTGTCTACGGACGGTGGACAGAGCCAGTGATACAATGATAACACAGCGATGACGCAACCAAGTCACTTTTTTCTCCATTGCACAGAGTTTAGTGTGAAACACTCATCAGACAGTATAATAATTATGACTAAGGCTAGCATTCACTAGAATACATAATTATAATGCGATCGATATCCAGGGTGAAATATTATTTAGCAAGTATGACGTATTCAATACGTCATACTCCTACATGTTCTGTGCATGTACATGTATAACACGCAATGCCAGATGATATTTCTGAGAAAAGCAAAGGCATAAACAAGCTATCGTCTGCCCCTCAGCAATTGTCCATACAATCATGTCATAATGATGTACATTGCACATGCACAGGGGAAGCTAAAGTAAGACGTAGATCTACACGTAGATTTACACGTGTCAACGTGTCCACGTGTACATGAACATGTACATGATTGTACATGCAATGCAATTCCAGATAATTATACATGTACAACCACGACGTAGATCTACGGGTGCTTCTGTTGATGTTCGACTGGACAATGGTCCTATGCATATGCGAACAGTAGCCCACTGGCTGTGGCATGGCCATCAGATCGAACTGCAGTACCAATGGGATGGAAATGCAGTACCGCGACTTAACTTGTGAGTGACACAGGCAAACCTGGGGCATATGTAGACTCACTTTCACCACAAATGAGTCAGTCACTTGTTGATGTCCAGTACTTCAAAAAACACCTTATTGTTCGCTACCTTTATTTTGTTCGCTTACATGGGTAGTCGAGTCTGAGAACATATTCCCGTTGTGACTGATGTTCAATATACAGTGAAACCTGTCTAAGACGACCGCTTAAGTGACCTTCAAAACGTGGTCTCCGTTACCAGGTGGTCTCCTTATCCAGGGTCATTTGACTGGAAATAGCATCCCTAGATCCTGGTTTCAGTGGTCTTCTTGGACAGGTGGTCGCCTTATCCGAGTGGTCGCCTTATCCGAGTGGTCGCCTTGACAGGTTTTACTGTACGTTGTTGATGTACGGAACACATTCTTGTTCACTATCATTGTCTACATCGCTCACACGAGTAGTTGAGTTCCTCGTCGTAGTGTTACTAGTATCATAGTCTTGACAGTGAGAGTTTCTCGTATACAACTGATTTCCGTAGTAAAGCAAAAAGGGAAGTGATTGACCTTCAGTCCCACGCTGACGATCAAGCACTTATCCCAGCGCTAGGGGTTCAAGTACCTTATTTCCTCACTTGATGGTTTTGTCAATTCGTGCCTCTAGCTCTGCTCCCAAACTGCTGAAGCGTCGAAGTACGGTCAAGTGCACATCTGCGGATGTTTCAGGATCTCCTGGATGTGGTGCATGCCAAATTCCCTACGCACTGATTTTGTGGGCGTCGCGGCGACTAGCACTACATGTGAGTCGCGTTGTGTAGATCTACGGGGTAGGCACAAACATACAGTATGCAGTATGTCATGGGGACGTCCATGATGTACAGTTGATTTAGCGTCCGAGGCGTTGATAAAGATAGCCAAATCGTGCTGAGCTGAGATTGAGAATAGACGATTCAGACACGTCCAGTTACAAGCGCTGCTCGGCGCACAACACTGAGACGGGATTGGGACGGGGGGGGGCAAACTAGGACGCTTGCTGCGATGTTCAATCGAATAGTTGAGCCCAGCCTGTTGTCTAAACAATGACATGGTATGTGGTGGTGTTGACGCAGGCCTGTCATTAATATTGACATGTGATCATCATTACACCACTGCGCGGGCAGTACTGGACCCTGCGTAGCGCCTCCGCAATGCTACACTACAGTGCTAGTGTGGCACGCGCACAGATTGCCAAGCTACTGTCAAACACTGTAGTAAACGAATTCTGAACGTGCTACATTGTCTGTGGGTGATTGAGTTCTGGACACATACACAATAATCAATCTACGTGTACATGTATAATTATGTGCATGTACATGTACATATGTAAATAATCGACGCGGAGACAACAATTTTATAATAGCTATAAAGAGAACAAATTCTGCTGTCATCGCCACACTACAACAAAGTCATGAAGGTTTACCAAAATCGATCACCCCTTGTTGCACTTAGCTCTCACTTTACTTCTATTGTCTCACCTTCCCTCATTCTATTTTTAGCACTTTGTTTTGTTCTCGTAACACATTATTGAATGTATATAAATTATTGATTTGGCATGGTTATTCTTCAGTCACGGCTTTCCACTGATGATTGTGACAAGAAAATCGATTTTGGTAAACCTTCATGACTTTGTTGTAGTGTGGCGATGACAGCAGAATTTGTTCTCTTTATAGCTATTATAACATGTACATATACATACCTTTTTAAATAATTATGTCATAGCACGAGATACTGCTGCTGTCCAACAATGCAGTAAAGGAATTCTGTGTCCTTCATTGACAGATAATTGTGTTCAAGTAGGCGTTCTGGGTTCATACATGTACATGTACATGTAGATGATTGTGCATGATCACAGTCTACATAACAATAGGCAAGAGATTATAAGGATAATTTACATGAGCATGCATGTACATGTATCTTCTGGTCAAATCACTTTACATTTGATGCAGGGGTCATGCGAAAATGGATACTGGATCCCTTTTCCGTGACGCATGACTAATACATGTAGAATGATAACAACAGAAACGTCCATGAGCGACCATCTGTGTCCATCGGTGCGTGTGTAATATACTACAGCGACTATGTACATGTACCTGTACAGTCATGTACAATGCACAATGTATATGCACTAGTGCAATAAGTGCTTACCAAACTTGACATCATTGCTGAGCGGAGTGGTGGTGACCTTTCGCACAATCGACTGTCACAAGATCATGGTCATTTCTGGTTTTGCAACGACCGCACACGGTGCCAATTCGCATAACTCACTGTCTATGGCCATTGTAATCTACACGACTACCGCATCTTGTCCCACCTGATCCCAGATCGAACAGCAAAGCAATGACCGCACACCCACGCTTGCGCTGCGTGTGAATTACGATTGCAACCAGGCTAGACGTCGCATTCACATTCACCGTATCCCCAGATCTCTCGGTAGAGTGAAGATAACACATTACTCTTCATTCACAAATTTATGACTTTTGATAATTACATTTTTATTGACATGTACATGTACATGTACATGTCTGGTCAGCAATGGTGGGTGCGTGGGAAAAGCAAGAACGAAGTAGGTTACACCACTGGATGAAATCTACGTAATGTGACGTGTGTTGCCTCAGTGTTAGGGGGCGGAGATGCGCACTTGATTATCGCCCGGGTTGTCCGTGCCTCCTCCTCCTAGACCGGAGACTACAATCATGTACAATGTAGCATTAATGCATGCACAGCAAAGACCATTGGAAAGATAATCATCTGGACCTAGGGCATAAACATTGTACGTGTCACGTTGCAGTAACAATGTATTTCCGTTATTGCAAAAGGCAGAAGAGAATAGAGACAGCCGGCTAGGTCATCTTAGCTTTGCTATGTGCATGAAACGCAGCGTTACAACAATGACCTAGCCGGCTGTCTCTTTTCTCTTCTGCCTTTTGTGGTAATGCTCCATCCTTGTGGTGTTGAGCACTCTAGGAAATCTGGGAAATCTCGCTATTGTATTTCCGTTATTGTATCCTGGATGTGAGATTAGGTCACGGCTTCACAACAACCGTTTCATAGGATCGGAATCGGTTTAACTTAAATCATTGATATGGGCTGAGTGCCCGATCGATCTCAGTCACAATTGTTCACTCTAAACTTCTACGTCCAGGTGACATTGTAGGCACCGGCGGATATTGCCGGAAGAATAATTGGCAGAATTCGGTACTTTTTCTGGTAGGTTTCATGCATGTTTGGTATGTGGATAAAGAAATGGAGCAGAATTCGAGGAATTGCCCGCCATAAGGTTTGTATGGGTTTGCCAATTTCACTCCTTTTCGAGCAGAATCCGCTGGTGCCTATCACATTGTCGAACACCTGCACTGTACATGTACAATCATATACATGTACATTATACAGGCACATATTGTACGTGCACATACAGTA